TTACTGTCAACAGCAACACAATTACATAAATGTAATGTCAACGGCAGTACAATTACGTTAATTAACTATCATTGACAGTATAATTACGTTAATTTACTGTCAGTGACAGCACAATTACGGTCAACGTTTAGCGGCGGACGTGGAAAAACAAAACAAACCAAACAAAACAAAAAACTTAAAAAAACACTAAAAAAAGAGACCGCCGGAAACCGGCGAAAAAATCCGGAAGAAAAGAAAAGAAAAAAAAAAAGAAAAAAGGCCAAAAAAAAAAAAAAAAAAAATGTCACCCCCGGAGACCGGGTTTTACCCCCGGTCACGCCTGGAAACGGGGAAAAATTCCGGAAGAAAGAAAAAAAAAAAAAAAAAAAATTTAAAAAAGTCAACGCCGGAATCCGGCGGCAAAAAAAAAGTTTTTGAAAAAAAAAATATTTTTTGAAAAAAAAAAATTTTGGGTCAAAATTTAATAATTTGTGAAATTTGGGGTCAAATTGAGATTAAATTAAGTTAAGGATGAAATTGGAGCATATTAAATTATACTCCAAAAAAAAGTCAAAATTGAATTTTTGTGGTCAAAATTGAACTTTTATGGACAAAATTGATTAATTTGGATTACAATTAAGAATTGGGTATAAATGGTTGAGGGTAATATTGGGATATACATGAATGTTTCCTTTAGTTATAATAAATATTAAAGGGATGGGCTTATTGGTAAAAGAGATATGTCCCCTAAACCTAGAATAATAAACATGCTTGGTTGGGGACTTTTGCATAAAAATCCCTAAATTAAAAGACCTTTTTTTGGTATATATAATTAAAATTAAATTAAAAGACTTAAACATGTGACTTTTGAGTATATAGATAATAAAAGCACAAAACTCCAAAGCAAACAAGACCAATGGGAATATTGGGAAATGATTTTAGTCAAGTTAAAATAAGTTAGTAATATTCATGGAAATTATGTTTGGGGGTAACCTAGTGTGACAAAATTCAAACAATTAATTAAATTAAAATTAATTTGTATCTATGTTTGGAGAGTAGTCAACAGTCAACACTAGATGGCACGCCACATTGGAAGTTTGAACCATTCAAATATAGCGTGCCCAGATACGAGGACAATTACCAAAATGGCCCTTTTAGTATTTCCACCTTTTTTTTTTTTTTTTTTTTCCAGATAATGTAATTTATGTTTCACTAATCTTCATACAAATTAAAGCATGTTTTCACCATGTGGTAATTATATATTCAATATTTTTTTAGTAAACACTAAACAATAAAAGTTTTAATATAAATTTCAAAATCTAATATCACTTTACTGGGAAAAATTACATTTTTCGTCCTCATACTTTACTCACTTTTTCAAAACTGTCCCTAAACATTTTGGAGTTACAATAGTAGTCTTTAATCATGCCATTTTTTTACAGAATTGGTCCGCCGTTAATTTTTTCCGTTAAGTTGGATGGAAAATGGCATATGCCTCTCACATGCCTTCAATTTACAACACTACATGAAAATGGACTTTCAACAACACGCATTGCATCTTGTTAAAACATATTTTTTATAATTATTATTTTTAATTAAAATTTAATATAATATCGAAATCACGTAAATTCCAAAAAAATCAACTCATTTCGGAAATATTATTTAAAAAAAATCAAAATATAGTTTAAAAATTTAAAATATTGTTCCAAAATCGGCATTTTTGGAATTCAATTAAAATATATCGTTTCAAACCAAAATAAAAAACCTCATAGGAATTGGGGAATTAGAAATCTCCATTACAATTTTCACCTCTAGTCAATTCCAAAAATTTTAATTGTGAGACAATATGTCGAGTTTTAAATCATTCAATATGGGTGAAAATTGGAAATGATTTTTCTTATGCCGCCTATTTTGATCGAATTTTTATTTTATTTTAAAATAATATATTCATTCAATTTCCAAAAGTTCCGATTTTAAAACACAATATTATTTTTTGGACAATATTATGATTTTTTAAATAATATTTCTGAATTTATTTTGAAAACAAATATCGAGTTTTAGATTATTAAATAAGGGTGAAAATTGGAATGGAGTTTTCTTACTCCGCCTATTATGATCAGATTTTTATTTTTTTAAAAAAAATAATTTTCATTTGGATTCAAGAAAATCCGGTTTTAAAACATTATATTATTATTTTAGACAATGCTTCTAAAAATAGTTTGAAACAATTTATCGAGTTTTACATTATTAAATTAGGGTGAAGATTGAAATGGAGGTTTCTTATCCCACCTATATATTCGGATCGAATTTTTATTTTATTTTGAAACAATGTTTTCATTTGAATTCCGAAAATCATGATTTTGAAAGCAATATTTCATTTTTTAAAACAATGTTTCAATTGTTTAAAGAATATTTCTCAAAATAATTTAAAACAATATATATCGATTTTTTTTTTTTGGAATTTATATAATTTCGAATTTCAATCAAGTTTTAATTATGAAAAATCTGTTTTAACAAGACGCAATGCGTGTTGTTGAAAGTCCATTTTCATGTAGTGTTGTAAATTGAAGGCATGTGAGAGGCACATGTCATTTTCCATCCAACTTAACGGCAAAAATTAACGGCGGACCAATTTTGTCAAAAAATGGCATGATTAAGGACTACTATTGTAACTCCAAAATGTTTAGGGACAATTTTAAAAAAGTGGGTAAAGTATGAGGACGAAAAATGTAATTTTCCCCACTTTACTGTAACTTTCCAACGATGTTCTTTATCATTATATTTATATATATTTATTAATTCTCAACACGACCTTATTAGATTCGGAGAATATATCAATTTTAAATGAA